CACATTTGATAGTCAAGTGTTGTTTTTAGTATTGTTTAACTGATGGCACCGGAACCACACAGTTGACGTTCACATGTTTTTAATATTATTGTAATTAGTTACTTAACTATTAACAATTAGCCTAATTAATAATTCAGAAAAGGACCTTTAATATATTACGGTTTTTATAGGGGGTAAATTTAAATATGCTAATCACATGTTTTAATTAATGTGTAATTAATGAATCTTTTCATAATAAACAACAACCTAAGAAAAACCTATTTAGCTAAATAAATAATCATTAATTGTTAATTAAATAATTAAATAGTAATAACTATTAGTGTTGTAATTAAATATTTGCTATCTAGTAATTTACGTTTTTCATAAGTGGTAATTATTAAAATAGCAATGAGTATTTTAATTATGTTGCTATCAGTGATTTTTTTTTTTTTTTTTGTAAATTGCTATCAGTGATTTAATCATAACATCAAACACACTAAGAAAAACCCTATTAAGTTGTTTTATATACTAATTAATAGTGTCATAATTAATCATTAATGATGTTATTGAATCACTTTTCAAATAAAATTAAATTTTTGTAAACGGTACTAAAGAAAATTTTTATATCAATTAATTAATAATCAATTTAATTTTGTCTTTGGGTAAAGGATAAATAATGTAAGTATGATGTAGTAATTTTAAAAAGTGTTTTAATATATTTATAATCATGTGAATTAGTAATTATTAAAATCGTAACAAATTTAATTTGAGACTATTATATAGTTACAGATGTAAGTTTAGTAAATGAAACCCTAACATTTTGACATATTAAGTTAGATTATGAATGATGAATTATTAATTAAGGAATGGAACATTAATTAAAATATAAAATGATGTTCAATATGAATGATGTTATTTAATCTTTTGTACAAAGTAATTGATTAATAATACAATATTATGAAATGGTAGCCAAAAAAACAAAAATTGTCAAATAATTAATATGAATAAAATTAGTGTTTAAGGTTTTATAGTAATAGTAATAAATTGTGTGTCAAATAATTATTATGCCGTAATAGTTATTAGTGTTTTAAGTAATAGTAATAAAATTCGATGTTAAATTTGATTAAGTAATCATTGCAATTACTCTTTTAATTATATAGTCCCTATAATTATTGATAATTTTTGTGAATTGTTGTTAGTTAAATGGCTAGTCATGGATCTTGCATTGACCCCGGGCCGAAAGAGTGAGGTGTACTGGATGAAGCGGTGCAGCTATCTCACAGGTCCCAAGTCGTTTGGAACGTAGGACATTTGAAGTCTCTGAGAGTGAGACGAGCCTCAGAGGGGAGGGGCATCCGAGACGTGCATAACCCTGATGATATCCCCCTGGACTTGCAGCAGCATTTGATGCGTGCAGGTTTCTGGCAAGCGGCTCGCATGAGACGACTACCGGTATTATTAAATTATGAATTTATACATTTATTTTACATGTTAGCAATATTAAGGACCTTTAATAATTTTTTACTTTATTTTTTTGTCATGACAGATTGACCATGGCCTGATTACTGCATCGGTTGAGAGGTGGAGGCTTGAGACTCACACTTTCCACATGCCTGTTGGAGAGATGACTATTACTTTACAAGATGTTGAGGCCATTCTGGGTTTAGCCACGGAGGGAAGAGTCATTTCTGGGTATACCCATGCTAATTGGGAAGATGTTATTCATCAATACATGGGACTATCTCCACAGGCAGTGGATTTGGACGGAGGGAATCTTAAGATGAGTTGGTTCACTCATCATTGGGCTCATTGGGCCGAGCATTCAGCTACTCACGAGGGACAGATTAGGTACACTCGTGCCTATCTTATGCGTCTCTTTGGAGATTTTTTGTTATGTGACAAGTCGAGTTCAGTAGTCCCCTGTCGATACATTCAATTATTAGATGGGGACCTTGAGGAGACTCGTACATACAGCTGGGGGTCAGCGGTACTCGCAATACTGTTCCGTGAGCTATGCCAGGCCACATCTTCAGCGGCCAAAGATATTGGGGGATGTACGTTGTTGTTGCAGATATGGGCGTGGAGCCGATTTCCTACCATTGCACCTCCCATTCCATTACCCATTGACCTAGCAGATCACTATGGACGAAGGTTTAACGAATAGTCTCACATGAAGAAGATTATAGTATTTTTCTTATCATTTTTCTTTCATTCATTAGTGCTAATTGTTGTATTATAATTTGTAGGTTCAATAATGTGGTATTGCGAAGCCGTCAATTTCACCTGAGGGATTACCGGATAGAGCTTGATCAGATGGGCCGAAACAATGTAAGAATTATTAAATGACCATGGCAGTTTTGTTCAACGATATGTACTTTATCCATGTTGCTTACACATATTTGCTTCATATAGGTTGTGTGGGAGCCATATAAGGACGTTGGGTACGAGTTTCTCGGTGCAGATCCTCACATGCAGAATATGTGGAGGGCCGTGACACCTGTACTTGCGTTCCATATTGTCGAGATGCACCAGCCTGATCGTTGCATGCGGCAATTTGGCATGCAGCAACATATCCCTGCACCTGCTGCACAGTTGCGAGGTGCACATGATCTTACCTTACGTGGTAAGATATCTGATAATTGGCAAGCCAAGATGGCCCCACACATACAGTTGTGGAACAATAGACATGAGCGCATTGAGACTGCAGATGCGTCGGAGGGGATCATGTCTCCTAACTCTGAGTATATGACCTGGTACTTCAGCCACACTAGACGGTTCATGACGAGGCAGGTCGCAAAGATTGGTCATGTTGTACGTATAGTTATTTATTCCGTCTTGGATGGATTGTACTTATTATAACATAGATTTTATGATTGCATGTCAGGCCTAAATTATCATATTTTTGTATACAGGTTGACGGCGTAGAGTGGATATGGTGGATACATTCACCACAGATGCGTGCAGAGCATGATGATGACCAGGTTCAAGAGGTTTGTGACCAGTTACTACTTGCTTTACAAGAGTTTGGTCGTGTTGCTGAGCCTGGCCCGATTGCACCATCCGGTCTATTGGTTAACATCCCAGATCCCGAGATACCTGTACCGCCTCATGCGAAGGAGGGTAGGGGAATTTGCCGTCGACGACCACGTATTGAGCATCAGGCTTACGACATCCCAGATCCTGGTCCACGAGGCGGTGGTGTTTATAGACCACCCATGTGGCCCACCATGGCATTTACTCCTATGCAGTGGTTTCCCACACATATGCCCACTGAGATGCCCACGCAGATGCCTATTCAGATGCCTACACAGATTGAGACAGAGATTCCTACACAGATGCCGGCACCGATACCCACACATATGCCTGTGCATATGCCTGGTTATTTTCCTATGCACATGGCAGCACACATGCCAACAAATATGCCGATGCCCCCACATCCAGATATGTCATTTGGGTTACATCCACACTTGCCTTCACACACTCAAACACAGTTTCCTTCTTCATACCAGTGGATGAGCACACAATTTGATCAGTGCATGAGTTCGTCTAGTGTGCGAACCCCACCATTTGGAGGATTTAGTGCGTATCAGCCTACACATGGGTTTTCAGCATTCGGTGCGTATCACGGTACCCAGTCTAGTAGTGTTGCTGCAGGAGGGATCGTCTATGGCGAAACGTCACAAGCATCACGCAGTCCACATCAGTCAGCACAGGATACACAGGACACTCAGGGAACGCAGGACTACTTCATACAGGAAGCAACAGAGGATTTCAATGTTAGGCACGATCCTCATGCAGAGCGAGTGGGTGGTGTCATTCGTAGGAATCCTGAACGTGATGCGCGTTTGAGACCATGGCCCACATATACTCCACCATCATAGCTGTCTGTTGTCAGGTACGCGTTTGGCTTATTTCAGACTTTATGTTATTTTATATTAGTGCATTGCTGTGTTTATGGATGACTGTACTTTATGGATTACTGTATTCTATGGATTACTGTATTCTATGGATTACTGAATTCTATGGACCACCCTCTTAAATGTGTTATTTTATGGATTATTGTAATACTATGGATTACTGTGATGTGTACTTGATTGGATTTTTCTGTATATCAGGTACAAAAGGTTCAACATAGATGGTTTATATCCCTGGATTGGCCATTATTATGCTGTTATGTTGTCCGATTTTTGTAGACCATGGCCCACATATACTCCACCATCATAGCTGTCTGTTGTCAGTTACGCGTTTGGCTTATTTCAGACTTTATGTTATTTTATATTAGTGCATTGTTGTGTTTATGGATGACTGTACTTTATGGATTACTGAATTATGTGGACCACCGTAGTAAAATTATTAAGTTTATGGATTACTGTATTCTATGGATTACTGAATTCTATGGACTACCCTCTTAAATGTGTTATTTTATGGATTATTGTAATACTATGGATTACTGTGATATGTACTTGATTGGATTTTTCTGTATATCAGGTACAAAAGGTTCAACATAGATGGTTTATATCCCTGGATTAGCCATTATTCTGCTATTATGTTGTCCGATTTTTGTAGACCATGGCCCACATATACTCCACCATCATAGCTGTCTGTTGTCAGTTACGAGTTTGGCTTATTTCAGACTTTATGTTATTTTATATTAGTGCATTGCTGTGTTTATGGATGACTGTACTTTATGGATTACTGAATTCTGTGGACCACCGTAGTAAAATTATTAAGTTTATGGATTACTGTATTCTATGGATTACTGAATTCTATGGACCACCCTCTTAAATGTGTTATTTTATGGATTATTGTAATACTATGGATTACTGTGATATGTACTTGATTGGATTTTTTTGTATATCAGGTACAAAAGGTTCAACATAGTTGGTTTATATCCCTGGATTGGCCATTATTCTGCTGTTATGTTGTCCGATTTTTGTAGACGACTTCGAAAATAGATATAGACCTCTAAAATTCAAGCACCATGACATATTATAATAAAATGCATGCATCATTACAACACATTAATTGGATGTGCGTATTGTAGGACATGAACGCCTATTGTGTCCAGCTTGTTTGCAGATACTGCATTTCGTTCGGCTAGATGTTGGTTGCTCTTCAACTTCCTCCATTTCATTACGGATACGTGTGGATTTAGGACGCCCGCGACCACGCATTAGTGAGACATCAGGGATGAGTTTTGGTCCGGGATGTGGGGGTATTCCATCTTCACTACCAATAGGCTGAAATGGAGATGAGTACACATGGATAATAGAGCTTACAGAGAATACCGGATCCACGTATTGATCAACATCGTGGGCTACCTTCTTACACGCTGCAATAACATGGCTGCACGGGATTTTGAAAGCTTGAAACTTACTACATTGGCATTTCCCATCACTCAGGTGCACCCAATATGTATTGCCTTGATCATCAACTTCAAAGGTAGTACGCGCCACATTATACTCCCGAACACGCATCGATGTTGCCCTCTCACTATTCTTTGTCATATTTTCTGAGATAACTTTTGAGAAATGCTTCCCAATCTCGGCATCTTTATGTTCTTTACACCCTCTTTTGAAAAAATAACGAGCAAGTCGACTATATGTGCATTTGACCAAAGACGTTATTGGCATGTTCCTCGCTCCCTTGAAAACCTTGTTCACTGATTCAGACAAGTTAGTTGTCATGTGCCCGTATCTTCGACCACACTCATCATAACTCCGAGTCCATTTCTCTTTTGGAATGGCCTCAATCCATGTAGCGACATCCGGACTAATGCTGCAGAACTCGGCATACGCAGCATCAAAGTAATCTTTATTTGGGATATATCCTGCGAAAAAATAAACAAATATTCAAAATGACCTAATTGACCATGGCAAAAACACATGGGAGATGACTAATTTGATAGTAATTACCTAGCTTCTTTAGAAAACCCTTCATGTACTGGTCCTTGAAACGTGTATTAAAATTGCTCCCTACATGACGAAGGAAAAAAACATGGTATGCATTGGGAGGTTGCCATCCAATGTCTGCATTGCTGACTGCTGATATAATGCTTTTGTGTCGATCAGAAATCAGACATATACCAGTCTTTTGAGTCACATGCATTCGGATGGATGCCAAAAATACTCCCATGCTTCTTTGGTTTCACTTTCAACAATCGCGAATGCAATTGGCAAGACCTCATTGTTTCCATCTTGCGTTGTGGCGATCAGTAATGTCCCTTTATATTTACCGTACAGATGCGTACCATCGACCTGTATAACAGGTTTACACCATTTAAACGCCTCTCGACATTGACCAAAAGTCCAAAATACACGTTGAAAAACCCTGCACCCATTAACAACCTGTCGATTCATGACACACGGTCCATGTTGAATATGATAAACAGACCCGGGAGAAAAATTCAACATGTGCCCGAACCATCTTGGCAAAAACGTATAAGACTCGTCCCAATCACCATAAATCTTAGCAATTGCTTTCTGCTTTGCCTTCCATGCCTTCCTATAAGAAACATTAAATCCAAAAAGGCCACAAACTCGTTCTTGAATCAAGACCACTGCCACTGAAGGTGAAGCCTTGACCATGTCTGCAAACCCATGTATAGCAAATTTGTAATCAGTAATTATATGGGCAGTCACGGTATAAATAGATAAAAATTTACATGTAAAAAAACTTGAAGATTGCATATTACCTATAATGGACTCGGAAATAAATTGTGAATCAAGTTGTTTGTGATCTTGCGAAAGGGTTGTGCTAACACAAGAATGATTTCTACCCCATTTACTGACTACCCAATTGTTGCAATTCTTAGGTTTAAATGCCCTAACTCGCCAGCTGCAACCTTCTTCATGTTTACGACATTTCATAGATAACTTCGTCGTAGTACTCTCAACAACTATAGCTTCTTGATGTTCATTCATGCAGTAATGTTTTATAGCGGCTTGGACATCCCGCTTCGATCGGAACTCTTGTTTGACATACATTTCATCTCCTCTTCTCCACGGTGCATGGCCTAAGCCTTCGACATCGAGTATGTCTTCGTTCGGGTAATCGAATTAACAGCCTCATAGTGTGGAATCGCATCCCAAAATGGTGTCACTTCTACAAATGCACACATAAAAATACACATATAAAAATAATATACAGTAAAATACACATACAAAATAAAAAATACAACCCATTTACTGACCTTCATGTATTGGTGGAACAACCGCAACATTAGACATAGGGATAACAGTCTGTTGTGTTATGGGATCATCATGATGTTCATAATCACCTAGATCGCTATCATTCTGATCATGGTCATTTGCCAATAGAGTGTCTTCATCTTCCTGATCCTCGTCCTCGTCCTCGTCCTCGTCCCCGTCCTCATCCTCATCATTGTCAGGTTCAACATTATAGTCGCTTTCTTCTCCATCCGCAACAGTTGATTGTGTGGGTTGGGGTACCGATGTAGATACAAATTGTGTCTGACTGTTAAGGTCCAGCCCACGTATTGGTGTTGACAGTTCCTCTGATGTCTCAATATCCACGTATAACTCAACAAATTGAGACGTAGTAGCATTTTGGACAAATGTTCCAAGAAAAATATCAATCTCTTCATCATCAGTTATTTCAAAACCTGTATATTTGCGATTTCCACATGGGACTCTACCCGTAATTGAAGATATTACCTGATTTTGTTGCAACTTCAACTTCAGACGAATCTTCTTAAGTAGATCTTCAATGGACAAGCCTCGAACAATATACATTGCTCTTTTTCTCCTTCAAAGCTCAAACCGCCTACACCATTAATTTTAGAACCATTGTAATATACAAATGTACGATATTGTTCCATTCTACTATTGTGTTTTTATGCAAATAATACACAAAAATAAGGACAATAGTGGAGAGATTCAAAATAACTAAACCCACAACAGATATTTAAATAAACATTGCAAGAAGTGATAGAAAAGAAAATACAAATCAAGAAACGGTTAGTTGACAACGCAAAAATAGAAACACCAAAT